CCCTGAGGTTTGTGCCCCCCCAGCTGACAGAGCAGGTCCTCTGCAGGCCAGGGCCCTCCCCTTCAGTCGGACTCCTGGGTTCTCGCCCGAGCTTGGGGGGGGGGGTGTCTGATAGTGAATGCAGCGTCCCCGCACTGCCTGCCCCCAGGCTCGCCCCACCCCCTGCAGGGCACAGCCAGCCTTGCCCCGGCCCTGGGGTGGGGCAAAGGGCCGGTGGGGCAGAACCCCCCCAGGCTGAGGGCTGCTGGTGGTGCAGGGGCTGGGCTGTGGTGTGAGAGCTCCCCCCGCTGGGGGGGGGGGCAGCTGAGGTGGTGGAGTGGGAAGTTTTCATACGATATCCGATGAATTCTGCGTGTGCCTCAGTTTCCCCCGTCCGGTTAAGGGTGGGGGGGATTGCTTTGCAGAGACCAGGGGTGGCCAAGGCCTGGCCCATGTGTGAAGTGGGAGCAGCTGGGGGTGTAGGACCTTCGGGAAACCCTCCTGCATTCACACTGCCGGGGGAGTCACTCTGGCTCGGGACAGCGGGGGGCATAGTTCCCTTGTGGGTCCAGTCCCGGGGGGGCTGCAGGCTTCGAGGTGGGTCCGAGAGGGTGGGGGAGCCAGTGGCTGATCCCAGGGATAGTGTGACCCCCAAGGGGGCTGCCCCACTGACAGGGCCCCCCAGGGCTGTTCCTGTGCTGGGCCTGCAGATCTGTGACAGCTGGGGGTGCCCAACACCCCATACAAGTGGCCAGGGGGGTCAGGTGCAGCTAGGCCAGCGTCCTGTGTGCCGCCAGCAGCCAATGACCAGACCCGGGAATCCCCAAGTGACCCATCCCGTCGCCCATTGCCAGCACCCGACAAACAGAGGCAGGGCCACCAGCCCTGCCCAGCCTGGCTCGTAGCCACTGGGGGACCGACCCGCCATGAACTTATCTAGTTCTTTTGAACCCGGTTATGGTCTCTGCCTTCACAACATCCCCTGGCGAGGAGTTCCACAGGTTAACAGTGAGCTGGGTGAAGAAATACTTCCTGTTTGTGTTAAACCTGCTGCTGTTCATTTCATTGGGTGACCCTGGTTCTTGTGTTAGGAGAAGGAGTAAATAACACTCCCCGCTCTACTCTCTCGGCGGGATTGTCGAGCCCCGTCACAGCCCCTTAGCCGGCTCTTCCGAGCTGGAGAGTCCCGCTCTCATTAACGTCTCCTCCCGCGGAAGCTGTTCCACGCCCCGAATCAGTTTTGTCGCCCTTGTCTGAACCGTTCCCAATTCCACGGGATCCTTTCGGAGATGGGGCGAGCACGTCTGCCCGCAGCGTTCAAGGCAACGTCTCGTCTCTCCCTTTCCTAACAAGTCCCGGCCCTCGGTCGCCTTCCTGCCAGCGAGCGGAGGATTTCCGAGAACTGGCCGCCGCGGTCTCTCTCTCGGGTGGTGGTGTCACCGAGCGTGGGGGGGCACCAGGCCCTGCGCCCCTGGCTTCCTGCCATTCCTCTCCGCCAGCCAGTAAAGCAGAAGGTTTATTTAGACGACAGGAACATGGCCCAGGACAGGTCTTGCAGGCACAGACAACAGGACCCCCCGCACTTAGGTCCATCTTGGGGTCTCAGGGCGCCCCAGCCCCTTGGGGGGTCAGAGCCCCGTCTGGGCTCCCTCCAATTACCAGCCAGCTCCTGAAACTCCAACTCCCTCCAGCGTCTCTCCCCCAGCCTCCCCCCCCAGCCTTTGTCCACTTCCTGGGCGGTGGGGTCACCTGGCCCCAGCCCCTGCTCAGGTATCTTCCCTCCAGGCCCGTCTCCCATCCCCCAGCCAACCCCCCCTGCAACCTTCCCGGCCCACTCCCCACTCCGCATTCAACCACCACACTGAGAACAGGCCCAGTTCCTCACCGTTGAGCTGTAGAGTTGGCGGATGGCTGCCAACGGGCATTTATCAACACTGAATTTCACCTGCCAGTTTGCTGCCCCCTCACCCCTTGTAGTGCTTCGCAGGCTGCCTGGGACTTAACGATCTCGAGTCGTTTTGTAGCATCTGCAGATTTTGCCACCTCCCTGTTCACCCCGTTTTCTAGCTCCGTTCTGAATATGTCGACTAGGACGGGGCCCCGAACAGACCCCTGGGGGACACCACGATTTACCTCTCTCCACTCTGAAAACGGACCAGGTATTCCTCCCCTTTGTGTCCCGTCTTTTAACCAGTTACCGATCCACGAGGGGATCTTCCCTCGTATCCCCTGGCAGCTGACTTTCGTGAGGGACCGTGTCAAAGGCCTTCTGACAATCGAAGTCCACGATCTCCACGGGATCCCCTTGGCCACGGGCTGGTGGATCCCCTCAGAGAAGTCTAGTAGATTGGTGAGGTACGATTTCCCTTTACAAAATCCACGTTGCCTCTTCCCCCACAAGTTGAGGTGAGCTCCGTGTCTGGCCGTTCTGTTCTCTACGACACTTTCGAGCCCTTTGCCCGGGACTGAAGTCAGACTCACCGGCCTGTAATTGCCGGGGGCACCGCTGGAGCCCTTTGTAACGATCGGCGGCACAGGAGCCGTCCTCGTCAGCGGGGACAGACGACAACGGCACGTCTGAGTTCCTGCCTGAGCCCATCTGGGCCTGGGGACTTAGTGTGGGTTCGTTTATCCGTTTGTTCCAAACCCTCCTCTGCGACACCTCAATCCGGGACACTTCCTCAGATCTGTCACCTAAACAGACGGGCTCCGGTTTGGGAATCTCCCTCCCATCCTCGGCCGTGAAGACCGAATTCGATTCATTTCTCCGCAATGGCCTTGTCGTCCTTGAGTGACCCTTTCGCAGCTGGCTCGCCCAGGGGCCCCACGGGTCGCGGAGCAGCTTCCGGCTTCCGCTCCGGGCCCCAGGCTCCGGCTCGCTGCTCTTCACGGTCGGGTTTGGCCCAATTCTGTATTTGCCCCTCGTTTGCCAGAGTCCGGCTCCTCCCCAGGCCTTCCCGGCCCGGGTCCAAGGCCGCCCTTCGCCTCTCCCTGCTCCGGAGCTGCGCTGTGATTTCCCTTTTCGTTCCAGTTTCACTCCCGGCCTCGTGTCTGTGTCGCCCCCTTTGTGAAAGTCAGGGCGGCAGTGTCGGGCCGCTGGGGGCCCCCCACGCAACATTCACCCCTTGGGCCAGCGCCTAACTGGAGACCGGCCCCCCCCTTGCCTTGTCCCCCCGTGGGCCGGATAGTGGGGGTGCTGAGAGCCAGCCCCTCCCCCTCCCCAGAGCTGGGGGCCGGCAGTGGAGCCCCGCGCCCCAGAAGCACAGCGAGCCGAGCGGGTGTGGACAGTGTTTATTGGGGGACACACAGAGGGGGGGCCCCGGTTCCCCCTCAGGCTTGGATGCTCCCCTTGGCGCTCAGGGCCAAGTAGTAGACGAGGAGCCCGATGGCGGCAGCCAGCACCTCCGTGGAGACCCAGGGTCCGCTCCAGGCGCCCTGCGGGAGACCGGGGGGGGTCAGTGGGGGGCTGGGCTCCCCGCATGGGACGGGCTCAGTGACCCCCACA